AAGGTTGCAACACACTAAACCACAGAATCAAATCAAACCAGCTGCCGTGGAGTCGATTCCAACTTATACCAACTTCATGTGCATCAGAGTAGAGCTGTGCTCCATAGGGTTTTCAATGGCTGATTTAGCAAAGGCAAATCACTACGGTTTTCTTCATCTAGGTAGACTTGAACCACCAACTTTTAGCTAGCAGCTGAGCACATTAATCATTTGTACCACTGAAGAAACTCCTACAACAAACTACCTACCTCAAACAGCATTTAAAGCATCCATCCAATCCAATGCTAACTAACCACTTGCTGTCAGTTGTGAGTTGCTATTGAGTTGATTCCAACTCACAGCCGCATACCAACACTCAAATTACCTGTTAGCTAAACTCTAATTAGTTCTATATGAAGAGATAAAAGGAAATACTACAACAGGTAGCCAAATATTGGTTACTGCTAATTCTAATCATGAGCATTTAAAAAAAAAAAAAAAAGAGTCCATACCTAAAGAGGTAGCTAATTACAGTGACACCACTGACCTGGTTTCTGTCATATTTATCTTCCTTACCAGAATATCATGAAAATACAATCATATAGTACATGAACTTTTGAAACTGGCTTCTTTTACTTGCATAGTGTCTTTCAGATTGATTCATGTTTTGGTACAAATCAATATAGTCCATTGGTTTTTATTGTTGAATAGTATACTGTATCATATGGATTTACTACATAGTTTATTCCTTGGACAAAGTTAAGAGTCTCCAGAGTAGAGGATATAATGTACAGTGGGATTAAGCTAGAGTTTGCATGCTAAATTTTGGGAAAGAAACCTCAGTTTTCCTCTCTCCAGAATAATTACATGACTAGAAGAGCTTTCCCTGGAGAACATGAATGGTCCAACAGAAAAGTCACAGGAACTTCTCCACCTACAAAAGAGAGCTCAGTGGGTGGCCACATAGTGACGTTGTTGTTGTTGTTATGTGCAGTGGAGTCGGTACCGACTTATAGTGACCCTGTACAGGGTTTCCGAGCCTATAAATCTTTACAGGAGCAGAAAGCCTCATCTTTCTCCCGCAGAACAGCTGGTAGTTTCGAACTGCTGACCTTGCAGTTCGCAGCCCAATTCGTAACCACTACGCTACCAGAGCTCCTTACATAGTGATGGCCTTCATCAATAAATCCCATCATGGGCTCAGAGTTTCCAATCAACTTTTAATCTTTGTTGTTGTTGTTAAATGTCCTCAAGTTGGTTCAGAGTCATAAAGACCCGCTTTAGGGAGTCTAAGGAGTGGCTGGTGGGTTTAAACTACTAACCTTGTGGTTAGCAGTCCAGTACTTACCATACACCCACGCTTTAATATGAGCACACAGAAAAGGATTTTAAGACATCTGAGTAAAGCCTCTACCATGAAAGATAAAGCAATTTGGAAAGAAAAAATATATATATAAGGAAAAGGGAACATTCAGAGAACAAAAATGTACATTTGAAAACTAAAAGTATACCAAGAGAAATTAAAATATCACTGGAAAGTTTGAAAAATGGAGATCTCCCAAGAATAGTCCAAAGAAAAAAAGAAAAATATTTAGTAAAGTAAAATTAGAAAACAAGTCCAAGAGCTTTAAGAGCAGAATGACAGGAGTTCCAAAAGAGAAATGCTAGAAAATGGATGTGCAAAACCTCATCTGTAAAATAAAACGTTATCTAGAGCCATGGTGGTGATGGTGGTGCCTGTGTGCTGTGGAGTCGTTGGACTCACAGCAACCCTGCATAGGGTTCCTGAGGCTGTAAATCTTTACAGGAGCAGAAAGCCTCATCTTTCTCCCGTGGAAGAGTTGGTAGTTTCAAACCGCTGATCTTGAGGTTAGTAGCCCAATTTGTAACTACCGTGCTAAGAGGGCCACCACCACACCACTACCACCACCATAAGGTACCTCTGGTGAAAACAACACCAAAAAGGCGCATCATGGTGATACTGCAGCACCAAGAACTTACTACAAAACACTACAGGCTCACAAGATGAAAATACAACAACAACATGGGAGTCACCTAACCACAAATTGTTGTTGTTGTTGTCAAGTACTGTTGAGTTGGTTCCGACTCATAGCAGCCCAGTATAGAGTTTCCTAGGAGCAGCTGGTAGGTTTGAACTGCTAACTTTGTGGTTTGCAGTATAGTGCGGATCCTACAATGCTATACCAGGAATAGTATTGAATATTATCACTGTTTTAAATATATATTGTGTTTCCAATGAAACAATACTGATGGACTGACATGAATTTTTAAATGATGAGGTAGTATAACTATTGTTTACTAACTTTGTTTCCTCTTGAAAATCCTTCTGTAATTTTTGACCTATTATCTATTGTTTTTCTTAAATAATTTTATATCAATTATGTGACAATGCTCATTGTTTGTCTATTATATTTGCTATACATGTCTTCTCAGACTGTTGATTTTTATTTTATTCTTTTTATTTATTTATATCTTTCTTCTTGAGATCATTCTCAAAATGAATCCATCTAAGTATGTTATCTAAAAAATTCCACATGTATGCTGCTTGATTAGAAAAATAATTCATCCAATCAACATACAGATTTGGGTCTCTGTACTGAAAGCACACACATTAAAACAATGTCCCCAAATCGTAATTTATTATTTTAACGAATAGTTAAGTCAAATGACTCTACTTATATCAATAGTCTCTCTAAACAAACAGAAAGCCTTTTTTCACTAGAGAACTCTTAGAAAACACATGAAGTTAGAAAAAAAGTAAGTCACCCAAAATTCCAAAAAGTAAAACTACAAAATTTTATTTTTATTTCCTTATTCTAGATATAAATGATACATTTTTATTACGGTAAATACATATAGCAGACCATCTGACAATTCAGGAGGACTTTTGGCAAGATGGCAGGCTAGGCAGGTGCACTCCATGGACCCTCTACAACAAAGATATAAGAGACCAAATAAAACAGATACAGATGAAAATTATGGCACCTTGAATTCAGAAGAAAGGTTAGAGATGTGGATGGAGTGATTGCTGGGAGGAGAGGCCCAGCGGGGATGATGAGAGAGGAAGACTGACTGGTAAACAGCTGGCCAGACTTGGCTTGACCATCCTGTGAGCAGTTTTGGCAGCAGAGGGATGCCTGGCAGAACAGGAAAGGTGTAATTACTTTTTTTCTCCATGCTCCCTGGTGATAACAGGCATGCATGGCCAGCTCGGACCCTCATCTACCCCCAGTGAAGACCCTGTTCTCCAGGACTTCAGAGTCACATGGTTGGAAGCCATGCCAGTAGAGTTGGGGGCTGACTATGCTGCTTTCCTGTCACACTTTGATGCCTGGATTCAGGTGGACTCAA